TACCACCCAATCACCCAAATCCCAAAGAGTATTGTAATATTTTAATCAAAACAATGGAGTACACAAATGCTAGACATTCTAATGGTGCATGGGTAAAGATGACCAGTTTGATAAAGGATTACCTGACAGTTAAACGTAATGATGGTAAAGAGTATTTACAAATTAGATTCACAGATCATAGTAAGCGAAAATCCGTTATCCAAGCCATTCACCAAGATAAATTCAAGTTATATACAATCTGTGAAGACTCACTTAGTGGTAAATATGGACAATTTATCGCTCGTAGTCGAATATACACGAATGGGAAAGAAGACTATTTCTATGTTTCAGGTTTCTTTATACTTAAGGATGAAACGCGTATACTCTCAATAGACGAACATGAGAACTGCTTTAAATATGACAAAGATATTATATTTTTAGATGATGAATTCTGTTGCAATGAGATAGTACATGCATTTGATCTGGAAATGACGTTTTTACAAAACTTCAATCATGAAATTAAAAAAAAAGATATGGTTGGACGTGGTAGTACCCCATTTGACCGTGCATACATGAACGTTAGTGTTTTTACCCAAGGTAATGATCCTGTGCCACTGGGAGTGATTTGCCTGCTCGATACTGGAACCGATACACCACTTCGATATGAATCGGAAGAGAAAATCAAGGAAAGAATATGGAAGATGGTGAATGACATAACAAAGTTTCAAAAAGTTGACTCTGAGACTATAAAGACCATGGTAATTTTTTTTGAGAAAAATTACAAGAAGATGGTCAGAGGTGAACATAAGACAATTCGTATGTTTATTGATAATATGAGAAATATTATAAAGTTTCCAATACACGTGATAAAGGTTTAGGAAGAACATGATTTCTATCGAGCGTTTGCAAAGATACAGAATAACATTAAACCACATGTGATCATCGGCCATAATTCAAATGGATTTGATATGCTATTCATTATGCGAAAGTTGGAATGGCTTGGTAGTACAATGATGGAAGAATTTTATAGGATAGCGACTGGTAAACAAATGACCTATGGGGAAATGTTCAAATATAATGTATTACAAAATGAAAACATAACACTTGCCCAGGGTGAAGATGCGATAGAATATACTTATATCAAGTTTGACGGAACACTGTTCTGGGACTCAATGACAATATTTTAACGTGAGTTCTCTGAGCGTCAGAGTAGTTTAAATTACATGCTTGATACTCTAGAGATCCCTTCCAAGATCGGGCTGAGTTATAGACGTATAGATGAGATTGTACTGCTTGCTATTGAAACAGCCAAGATTCAAGATGAAATAACAAAATTAAATATTGATTCGATGGATTACCATAACAAGATCGAAGAACTCAATTCGAGACAAAGTAAAGTTATCAATAATTTACATGAAGAAGAAGGGTTGAAAAACTTTGTACAGACATCTTTGAATATTGCTTCTATGATTCATGGGCAGTCCTATTGAGCATAATTAAGATGCAAAAACTGGTTTCGTACCGATTAGATGCGATAATTTATAACTGTGAATACGCACAACCATTCCGTGGTAGTAAAACAAGTATGTTGAATTGTCTTATAGCTAAGGAGTATAATAAGAAACATAATGACAAGCCGGTATTATACGGTATCAAAGATAAGAAGAAATTTTAAGATGCGGAGGTAATTGACCCAGAGACCGGGTATTACATGGATCCTATTTATGTACTTGATTTTGCAAGTTTGTACCTGTCGATAATGCATGAATACAATATGGGACCCGATACGCTTAGGTATGAAAAGCCCAATGAGAAATATCGAGTAGTACATCTCGTAGACAATAATGTGGGAACAAATCAGAATATATACTTTATTCATGAGGATACCCACGAAAGCATCATATGAAACATTCCCACAGATCTGATAAAAAAGAGAAAAGAAGCCAAGAAAGAGCATGACAAGTATATTGGGATTAATAATGTGATGTATAATATACTAGATCAGAAGCAACTTGCGTATAAAGCATCGGCGAATGCATTATACGGAGGCCTAGGTTCACCATATCTCGGTATTGCTGTACCAGTAATATCACAGTGTGTAACCTTTGTTGCTCAGGAACTAATAAAAACTTTAAAAAAATTTATAGAATCGTATCACACCGGGGAATATAGAGATGACCATAACGTGATCTGTGACGAAACCAGTGAGGTAATCTATGGAGACACAGATTCTTGCCTAGCACGATTACCAAAGCGTATCTTACGTTGTATACTTAAAAAGTACTACAGCCATTTAAAATACATCGAGTTAAATAATGGTTTGATAAAGGAATATGAAGAACTTATATTCAAGATGTACGATGAGCTTACCAAAGAGAGAAGCATATTTGGTAAAAAAGTATATGATGCATTCAACGCGTTTAACCGTGATTGTAGAATTAAAATAGTTACATTGGAATATGAAAAACTTTTATTTGATTTGACACTAAATAACAAGAAACGCTATGCGGGTTATAAATTTGAATTGCAAAGTAATGGAGAACCTCCAGATTACTTTTTTTCGGAAATATTTTCTGGTGCTAAAGATTATATTTCAAGAAATACAAAGCTCTTTAACAAACGGCTCGTATTTGATGAGATGATAAATGTATTTCTAACCGAAAGTGATGAGTTTAAAAAGTATGCGGTTATGAAACGATTTTCCAATATTCATGTTAGGGGCCTGCCTATAGTTCGACGTGATGCAAATAACTCCTCTAAGGTTATACAACAGATGACATATTTAAAACTTTTTGATTATAAAGAGAAGATGAAATTTATTCTAGACAAAAAATTTAACAACTTTGATGAGTTCTTTGAGTTCTTCGTAAATAGTCGCTGTGATAAGAATAATTGGTTATTAATATGTCTAGAAGATGCAAGCAAAAAAGTCATAAAGTTATTAACCCAAAAGCTTGAACCCCAGGACCTCTATATAATTGAAAATAGTGTACAGTTTAACCCTCGTGAGATTTCAACTTTGACTATAATCGAAAAGATGAAACATGATATATTCAAAAATAGTAATTATAATATTGTTAATAGTAAATTAATACTATACGAGGATATGAATATGAGCAAGCGACACCACTTTGCGAATGAGATTAATTAGAACGAAAAAACATCATTTGAATTAGTCGATGGGGATTTTTATTTTAAGAATCTGAGATTAAAATATAAGGGATGAGCCGAGAGAAAGGGAACCCCAGTGTTATAACAATGATCAATCGGTTACAACAAGAGAATAAAAAGATACCAAGTGGACATGTTAATACTATTGTTAAATATTTACCAGATTCACGAGCAGTTGGCGAGAGAATGATACTATCAGAAGAGTATGATCCTAAAAAGGATAAAATCAACACTATATATTATATCAAAAAATTCAATTCATTTATCGGGTCATGTCTAAATATCGAAAAAAAAGAGGCGTGGGGCCTCGTTAATAGATGGTATAATGAAGTTGTTAAATCTCCACAGATCTAGCGAACACAAGATACCGATAACGAAGAAAGTGATTCCACTGATGAGTCATCAAAGAAAACTAATAAACAATACAAACGAAGAAAGACCAAAGATGATAGTATAGAAACTACTTCTAATCATAGAATAACTGATTTTTTTATTCAAAGATAATTTATTTATTTATTAATAAATAACTAATTTGATACAAGTCTATTGTAAAGATCAAGTCTTCTCTTTTCTG